TTGAAGTGGAATGGACACTATGGGAAACAGTGACTTGATCAGCATAGCCCTGACTGTTAATGAACAACTTAATACATTATCCCTCTTAGTAGTTTTTTTGTCTGTTCTACTTAATATGACTGGTTTAATTCTGTAATTAATACACAGTTATTCTTAAGTGTTGAAATTTAACTGAAATGTGATCCCTGTTAAACATAAGAGTAGGAATAAGAGAGGGAAGAGATGTATAATTTGGGACATGCTCAAGCTGACTTGCCCCAAATGGTAGAGTTAGAAACATACCAGGGGACTCCAATTTAATCCCATCAAGGTGGCATGTACCAATGCCATCTCACTAGTCCAAGTGATCAATTTCAGTTCACAATTGATCATAATGAAAGGACTAAGAGTCAAAAGGAGCACATAAACAAATCTAGTACCTGCTAATACTAACCGATAGAATAAATAAAGGGGAGAGTGATCCAACATGGGAAGTGAGATACTCAGCAGACTCATAGAATGGCAGATGTCCTAAATAGCACTCTGGCCTCAGAATCAGCCCTAAAGGCATTTGGATCTGGCTGAAAAGCCCATGAGAGTATTTCAGGCATGGAAAGCCAAGACACTCTGGCAAAAGATCTCTGTGAGTGAGATCCCAGTGGAAAGAACAGGTCTTCAAAGAAGGAGGTACCTTTCTCTGAAGGGAGGAGAGAACCTCCACTTTGACTATGACCTTGTCTAAACAAGATAAAAATTGGAGAACTCAGAGGGCTTCCATAGCCTTGGAAACTCATGACTGGAGCATAGGGAGATTACTGATGCCATAGACAGGAGTGTCAATTGGTAAAGTCAACAACAGGAGTCACTTTATGTTTCTGTGTGGGAGCAAACTGTTGAAATCCTTACTTAATGTATACTAAGCTGATCTTCTGTATATTAAGATAATCTAAAATGAATCTTGATGTGAATGGAAGGGGAGAGGGAGTGGGAAAGGGGAGGGTTGTGGGTGGGAGGGACGGTATGGGGGGGAAGCCATTGTAATCCATAAATCGTACTTTGGAAATTTATATTCATTAAATAAAAGTTAAAAAAAAAAAGAATATTATGCTTCATTAGACAATGACAACCAAGGAAAGAATAAGATATGTACCTAAATTAACATAAATCGGCTGGCGCCGTGGCTCAATAGGATGGCCCAAGTGTTTGGGCCCTGCACCCGCATGGGAGACCAGGAGAAACACCTTACTCCTGGCTTCGGATCAGTGTGGTGCGCTGGGCGCAGCGCGCTGGCTGCGGCGGCCATTGGAGGGTGAACCAAGGGCAAAGGAAGACTTTTCTCTCTGTCTCTCTCTCACTGTCCACTCTGCCTGTTAAAAAAAAAAAACAAACAAAAAACCATAAATCAAATGTTTATGTGATATGATTTTAAGATATTGATTTTAAAGGAATAGGTGAGAGTATGAGCAAGTTGATGAAAAAAATCAATGATGATTTGTATTAATGCTGGATTAAAGAAAATAAATTGAAATATTTACTGATAACCATGATATACTATGGGGTGTACTATGGGCTATATTAATGCTGGATTAAAGAAAATAAATTGATTAAAGAAATAAATTGGATTTAGTGGTGACTCTAGGACCTGAGGAAATAGCTAAAATCATTGTAAAAAATATTAGAAGGCATGGATGAGTTTGGGAGCTGTCTCGGTTGAAGATAGAAGTTCTCATTGTACCACAAACTTGAAGAAAAGGAAAGCTTTCAAGTGCAACAGTTCAATGCTAAGGAGGACACTTAATATCGCCACATTTAAAGCAATACATCAGAGTTTAGCATGGGTGGAAGAAGAGTGCTGATACCAGGTAGGGATGCCAAACTTACATTTTAAGTTTCTGCAACTCAACAGTTTTACCTATCATAATATATGCAAAAATGTTTCAACACACCCAGTTTTCCGTGCAGCCCTCTACATATGAATCTCCATGCATGGGATAACAATGTAGAGTAAATGATTAGTCATTCCCAAACAGGAGAAGACAGAACAAGCACGTTTTTAGAGGTCAGGGCATTTCAGATTTTAACATCATCCATGAAGAATCTTCGAGAAGGAATGAAGTCGACATTATGTATTGAATAGATCTGACTGCATCACCTCCTTTTTAACAGTGAACACTTCAAACAGTGTTTTTCAAGACCTTGAGAAACACTGCCAGGAATCGCTTCATTCTATTTCAAGGACTTTGGAGACCTGATCATGTATTCCATATGCATACTCAATCTGTCAAGTGGTCAGCTTGAATTCTGAGCAAAAAAAGTCACGCATGATGAAATCTGAAGCAAAGTCTAGTCATTTTAAATTGGAGATCTAAATTTATATGGAAATATCATGAATTTTTCATTACTTGATTTGAGTGCTACACATATTTTATAGTCTGCTCAGTCACCAACCCTATGCTTACCTGTTAACCATAGTTAAGTGTCTAAATATCATCTATCATTTGATCTAGTAGTACATGTCAGTATCATTCAGAAAAAGCCAGTATGTAGAATTAAAATAAAAATACTATTGAATCTTTTCAGTTTTATAATGCTAGAAGAGTATTTGGAAGAGTTTGTCTTAGCATAAATGAATGATTTTTTTTTTGATTCAACTAAGGAGCTTTGGCTTGGAAGCTTCTTGGGATAAAGGTCTATGGGCCTGAATCAGCAGGTTTGATAGCAAGTGGGGTATGTCTGGACTCATTTTCCATGTCACATATATATCTGAGTTAGGGCAGTCTTAGGTTAGTGTATTATCCCAAACTAATTGTTACTAGCACCTACATCTACTTACTCAGTTTGGATAATAAATTATAGAATCACTATCTGCATCACAGATAACTGCTGTTGGAATATACTCAAAACAATACTCAAAATAACACCAGACTGAAATGGTTTTAGGAGGCTAAAATATCAGTCACTGGATCATTTCCTAAAGGACCACAACAGCTAGGGTTGATCCAGGCCGAGGCTAGCAGAATGAAAATTCCATTCAGGTCTTCCTTCCATGTGGGTGGCAAGGAAAGTACTTGGGCAATCATCTGCTCCTTCTCAGCTGCACTGGCAAGAGGTTGGGTAGGAAGTATAATAGCTGAGACTTGAACCAGTATCTCCAACATAGGATACGGGCATCCCAAGGGATGGCTTAATACACTGCATTACAATACCCACCCCATCTTTTGTTTCAAAAGCCATCCAGGTGATTCTGAGGCTTGCCAAATTTTGGAAACTACTGATCTAATGTCTTCATTAGAAAGTAGTGAAGAGTCAGGGGAGTTGATCAGTAGTAGAGCTGAGGGTCTTGAGGCAATTTGAAGAAGAAGATGTTGCATGATTTCTTGCCTGGGCTTAAATTATGACCTTCAAGGTGTTTAACATTTGGGGATCAAACCTGAAAGGGATGACACATGGTCTCTGTCATGGCCCAGGATGTGTGGCACAGGGATGACAAGGAGTGTAAAGATGGTCATTGGTCAATTGTTCCAGAGCTTCAACTGTTGAATGTATGTGGGTGAAGGGTCATATACAATATTCATTAAAACAAAAAAAAAAAAGATGGCACAGGAGAACAAGGTCAAATAATACAGAGTTCATAAAACAAATAAATAGGACAATAGGACTTTTAGGAAATTCATCAGCTCATTATTTTTATTATTTTCCTGTGAACTACACAAAAGTTAGAAATGAGTCTTGACTTGAGATCTAACATTTTGTAGTAGGATCAGAATTTCAGATTATCTCTTCATTTAAGATTGCGTTTTGTAGGCTAAGCCACCAAACTCTCCTATCACTACTGAAACTAGCATATAATTTAATCACCACGGAGTTCCACCTTAGAAGAAAATTTCTATGTGATTTAAGATAATTATTTTGTGTGTGCCAGGGGATTCCAATACAATCCCATCAAGGTGGCATGTACCAATGCCATCTCATTAGTCCAAGTGATCAATTTCTGTTCACAGTTGATCACACTGATAGGTCTAAGAGTCAAAGGGATCACACAAACAAGACTAGTGTCTGCTAATACTAACTGATAGAATCAAAAAGGGAGAGAACGACCAAACATGGGAAGCAGGATACACAGCAGACTCATAGAATGGCAGATGTCCTAAAGAGCACTCTGGCCTCAGAATTAGCCCTTAAGGCATTAGGATATGGCTGAAGAGCCCATGAGAGTATTTTAGGCATGGAAAGCCAAGACACTCTGGAAAAAAACAAACAAACAAACAAACAAACAAAAACCTAAATGAAAGATCTCCGCGAGTGAGATCCCAGTGGAAAGAACGGGTACCTTTTTCTGAAGGGAGGAGAGAACTTCCACTTTGACCATGACCCTGTCGGAATAAGATCAAAGTCAGCAAACTCAAAAGGCTTCCATAGCCTTAGCAACTCATGACTAGAGTCTAGGGAGATTACTGACGCCATATTCAAGAGTGTCAAATTGTTAAGTCAACAACAGGAGTCACTGTGTACTTACTTCTCATGTGGGATCTGTCCTTAATGTGTTGTCCAATGTGAAGTAATGCTATAACTAGTACTGAAACAGTATTTTACACTTTGTGTTTCAGTGTGGGTGCAAACTGATGAAAGCTTGACTTAATATATGCTAAATTGATCTTCTGTATATAAAGATAATTGAAAATGAATCTTGATGTGAATGGAATGGGAGAGGGAGCAGGAGATGGGAGGGGTGCGAGTGGGAGGGAAATTATGAGGGGGGGAAGCTATTGTAATCCATAAACTGTACTTTGGAAAGTTATATTTACTAAATAAAAGTTAAAAAATACTTTAAAAAAGATTTTTTTTTTGAGAAAGCATACAAGTTCTTTATATTTTGGCTTTATCTGCACTTACTTTACTTTCAAGTTTCAGATACATTTTATCTTTTGGTAAACTTTATTGTCTGATTTATAATACTGTAGGATATCAATCTAGCATCTCTGACATCCATTTTTTTATTCCTTTGATATGTGAATTTACAGAAATCGAAAGAAAGGAAGAGGTTAGTGCTGCCTCAACTAAAAAAGGTAAATGAAGCTTAAAGAAAAAGATGTCATGACTATAACTTATTTCTGCAAGGATTTTATTCTAATTGTTTTGTGCATATTGAGTTTTATTTATTGATTTTACTATTTCATTGATGTGAAAACAAAGCTGCTTTGCACAAGACTTGCAGCATCTGTGTTGACAAGGCTTTGCATTTGTATCCCTAATGCCAATAGTAATTAATGGTCAAATTGCTAGTTCATATTTTAACAATTGTAGAAATGCAACTATCTGTGTGCAATGTGATTCAAGTTTCAGCATTTTGCCTTTGGATATGAGGACTTGAGGAAATAAAATTTTGACTAATACAACTCACATGAATAGTAGTCTGTCTGTGCAAGAATAATGCCAAATTAGGAAATGCCTTTTGTAAGATGTTGAGTAGGGGATATTGCACTTTTAAAAAACACCTTTAGAAATTTGGAATGAAATAAATAATGTGTTTAATGTCTTTGAAAGTACCTCAGAAACACATTAATAAACATGTCCTTCTATTTGGTGTCATTTTCTGCAATTGACATTGTTTATTGGTATAAGGTGGATATGCCATGGTTGCTTTAGAATGTCTAATGTTATAGTATCACAAAAAAGCTAAGGGTCTTAATACAGAGACAAAGAAATTAATTAATTAATCAATCCAGGCATTAATACTGGAGTACATGTACTCAGTAATGGACATAATGACAAGGCAGTGGTATGTGTTGAAAGCAAGAACAAAAATGAGTCCAAGTTATGTTCTAAATCTCCAGTTAAGGGTAAAATAAATAGTGTCCAAATAATAGTAGATGAATTTCTCCTTGAATTAGTTTTTAGATACTGAGCCTTATAGATGCATTATGCAGAAGACGGTCTAGATTTGAGTTAAAGTTTAAAGAATAAATTACTGGGAACTGACCCATACATAGGATGAGTCATTTGAATTTTGGATATTTAGGGTAGAAATACAAACATACATACTTTGATACTCAGGTCAAACTGGATTACACAGAGATGGAACTGAAACTGATCCATAAATTACTAAACTATTCAGCTATTCAGTCTTTGTTTTGTTTTTTTATCTTTTTTTTTTTTTTTTTTTTTTGACAGGCAGAGTAGACAGTGAGAGAGAGAGAGACAGAGAGAAAGGTCTTCCTTTGCCGTTGGTTCACCCTCCAATGGCCGCTGTGGCCGGCGCACTGCAGCCAGCGCACCACGCTGATCTGATGGCAGGAGCCAGGTACTTATCCTGGTCTTCCATGAGGTGCAGGGCCCAAGTCCACTGCACTCCCGGGCCACAGCAGAGAGCTGGCCTGGAAGAGGGGCAACCGGGACAGAATCCGGCGCCCCGACCCGGACTAGAACCCGGTGTGCTGGCGCCGCAAGGCAGAGGATTAGCCTAGTGAGCCGCGGCGCCGGCACACTTCAGTCTTTAGCCATGAAGATTCTCCGACTTTAGAGTGTGGCCAAACATTTTTACTGGACTTAACTAGGCCTGCTTTGCAGGCTTAGACAGAAGTAGAAATACAATTTGTTTATAAACACAAATTACTGGCACCAACTACTTTGTCTCTGGTTCATCATAGACTGTGCAACTTAATTCTCAATTTAAATATAATTCTGTGTACTGGATTTACCAGCAACTACAGAATAAGCAGAAACCTTTTAAAGCTATTGGAAATGTCATTAATTTCAGGTAGTGCATTAGCAATATGACAAATTATGAACAAATATTGGAGACCTGTCTTACTTATTAGTTTGCACATCCCTTACTTCCTGATAACAGTCAGTTACACCTGAAAATATATTATTAGGAGCAGTCTTCAAAAAGTCCATGGAAAGTTCATTTTATAAAAAATCTATAAGTAGATTTCAAATTATTTTTGTATTACAATAAACTAATAATTTTAATTCTATTTTCCATTAACTATTTGAAGTATCCTTTAATCCATGTCAATTTCAGCCCAAATCCCATAATGTTATTTAACATCCTAATCCCATAATATTTATCGTACTTTACAAGATGATCACTTTATAGTCTTTCACAAGTAAGCAGAAAAATAAAATGATTTGGGAGTTATTTTTAGTTTTAAAATAGTGCGAAACCATTCTAAACTAAAGTTTGAATTGGAATTGTGCAATATTAAGTGGAAATTATTAATTTTGTGGTTGTTTTAAACTTTTTGAAAGTAAATAATCACTTTTATGTTATTGTAATGTGCAAATTTATACCAAGTATAAATTGTTTTCTCTTAAATCTGCTTTTAAACCATATTTTCTTTGTAGACATTTAGTATTTAATGAGTAACATGGTATCATCTTACGAGTTTACATTTGCTTGGCATTTTGCAACTTCCTAATAATTTTCATTGAATGTATATTTATGGATCACATACAACTTGCAAAATCAAGAAAAAAATTGTGTTGATAGAGTTCTTTTGCAATTTTAAACATTAGAAAAATGTGAATTTTTGTTGAGTCACTAAATAGACTTCAATTTTCACTATCAATTAAAAATTTCCCCTATATCTACAGGTCAAGGGTAAAAGCCATCAGGGTGGAGAGCTAAGTACAGATAAATTGCCATGAAGTTTAATTTTTTTTTCTTTTCTAGGGAAAATAAAATTGTTTACTACATAAGGTGATTTTAGATGTAAACATTAAATAACAGAGAGGGTTTTGTTGTGTTAACAATGAGTAGGAAGGATGTATCAGACATAGGTAACTGAGAAAAGCAAAATGGTGATAATTTTCAAGATATATCCAAGAGCAGATGTCTTAAGAACTTGATATTAACTAACATAACCAGAGATAAAAGTTTTAAAAACTTCAGTTTTAAAATTGTACCTCATTCCATATGTAATAAGAGGCAATGGGAAATTATCAATATAGGATAACAATCAGATATTTACTTTAGGAAGATCAACTACAAAAGCAGAAATTTGAATTAGCCAGGTTGGCTAGGGAACATCTGCAAGTATTTGACATGTATTAGAATCTTGAGTAGATTAGAATCTTAGTCGTGGGAGAAAGGACAGAGTTATGTGAACACTGTTGCAGGTGCAGATTTAATGGAATTTCACAGCTGATTAGCTTTGGGCCAGGAAAAATAAGAAATAATTTAATGACAGTAGTAAGTTTATCTGATTATATACTTGAAACCTATTGTTGATAGTCTTAATAAAAATTAAGAGGAAAAATGAAAAAAATTGTTTGGAGGGGCGAAATAGTGTGGAGGGGAAAGACAAGATTTGTTTGAGAAATATTTATAGTGCTAATGGCTCGTGTATGTGGCTCTCATTGTAAAACTGGGGCTCCATATGGGGACAAGGATGAAAATATGTGAATGGTGCCTTATGCATGAAGATAGTGGTGGAATCAAGAGTCAGTGAGCTTGTCTTCGAGAGATGAGGGAAAATTTATATTCGGGGAAAAATGCAAGGAGAGACAAATAAAAAGGAAAAAAAAAGTATTGAGTAATAGCAGGAAAAGAAACCATTTCGTTAACAAGTTGGTGGTCACCAAGTCATTGGATTTGTCATCTAGATAATAATCTGCATTTTTAGAAATTTATTTTATTTATTTAAGACGGAGGGAGAGAGGGAGGGAGAGAAAAGAGAGAGAGAGCAAGAGTGAGAGAGAGAATGAGAATGAATGAGAATCTCTTATCCACTGATTTCATTCCCCAAATGCCCACAACAAACAGCTGGACTTGGGATACTACAAAACCAGGAGCAGGAAACTCAACCCAGGTGTGCCATGGACTGGCAGTGATCAAAGTATTTGGGCCATTAACTGCTGCTTCCTAGAATATACATTAGTACAGGGCAGAGCTGGGTTTGATCCCAGGTATTCCAAAATGGTGTTTGGGTATCTCAAGTGGCACCCTAGCCATCATGGTGCATACTTGCTCCTAATTATTTACAAAAGAGACTTTTAAGACGAGTGGACAGAAGTAAAAACTAAAGGGTGACAAAATTAAAGGACATGAAATGTAAAATACAGACAATCCTTCAGAAGCAAGTGGACTGGGGATAAAAGAAGGAAAATGAAATAGCTTGTGTTCTTGTCTAATTCATAACCATCTCTGTTACTCTTATAATAGTTGTTTCTCCTTCTCTTAAAGACTAACTTTTTGGGTTTTGCCTTCTTAATCAGTCATCTATTCTGTTTTGTAGCATTGTTCTCTTTCTCGTTACTAACCTTTTCCCCTCATGTTGGAAATATTTTCCTCATTACTTTTGTATCCAGAATTCTGAATGGTAGAGTGTTTACCATCATTTTTTCCCTCCCACAATGATAAGGCTTCTGTCCTTACCACATCACCAGTGCTCTGGTTAATGTGATGACATTATCCTTGCTAAACTAATAAAACCATTTCAGTCCTTGCAGACTAGAATTTTCAGTGCTATTTAACACTTCATCTCTCACTAAATCTACCTTTTGTTGGGATTCCACGATAAAACAGTCTTCTGGTTCTCTCCATATTCTCCACCCTTGATTTTTGATTTCCTTGTGTTTTCTTTTTCTTTGTGCCAACTGAATTTTGGGTGTTCCTAGACTCCATTACTAACCCTCTGATTTTCTTATTCTAAACTCTCTCCTGGTGAGATATGACCACTGTCAAGATTGAAGCTGAGCAGTGTATTCTGAAGATACCCAATTCAGTATCTCCATTTCAGACTTTTATGCAACTTTAGGCTTACTTGTATATGTTTAGCTGCCAAATAAACATCTTCAAATTCACCATCTTTTAACCTAAACTCCTTATTTGCTCCTCCCAACTTGCTTTTCTTTGTAATGGGTAAAACTACAGTTTACCCTCTGGCTCACTGGGAACCTGGTAATGAACTTCCATCTTTCTTTCTCTCCCTTCCACCTGCTTATTTAAAGAAATTTAAATTCTGTTGATTTTATCCTCATATGTTTTAATATAGTTTCTCCTATTTGAAACCATTCATTTCATTTTAATTAAAGCCTTGTCTTTTAATTGAATCTGTTTATA